GCGCCGTCGTCGTCGTCCTCGTCGTCGTCGTCGTCGTCGCCAAGTTAATTACGAGGCCAGCGTAACGCGGCCTCGCACCAAACTTCCTTTAATATCGAACATCCCTTCGCTGATACTTCTCGGCGCCGCTCTCTCCTCCGATCATGGACAAAGCGTGTAACAGACTGTTTCCCTGGCTTAACCCCCGGATGACGTAACCCTCGATAACGAACACGATGGGCGGATGTAAAGGCTTTGTGTAGTGTTAAGAAGAAGGGAACTTTGAGCTCGTTGAAAATGCTCGCTGCGTTAGAGCGAGGATCTTGGGATTAAGCACTGCTCGTTCGGAACGTACGATTCTGAAGAAACGATAGTCAAATGTTGTGGTAAATTTTGTATAATTAGAAATTGCTCGCAAGGATAGTCTTTTATGTAAATTTTATCTGAATCTTTTGGATTTAGAGCCTCCAAGATTTCCTAGACTTTTGGACTCGAAGCTCTGTTTTTAGTTAGATGCGCGAGACATTTATCGGAACTATTAGTATGCGAAACTATGTGCGGTAATGTCTCTCTAATTGACGCTCAGATTGTCCACAAAAATGGACAATTTAGGAAGTGGAGGTACGATTATTCGATCCTTGCGGTTCATTTGTATAGTCACGAATTGTCAACAATTATAAAAACGGGCTGCAAAGCTGCAAGACTCGAATAATCGTATCTCTTCTTCCCAAATTGTCCATTTTTGTGCACAATCTGAGCGTCAGTTAGGGAGACATTACTGTATTTCTTCGAGAGTATCGCGGAGCCGGAATTGAAAGTGTATTTCGAAGGACCATGACACGTCGAGCCTCGCATTGCTCCCGGAAATGCCACATTTCGGGTTGCTGTGAATTTCCCTGTGCTGATCCTACGCCTATGTAATTTATTGCTACGTCGATGCTAAGGGTTGACGCCACTTTCGTGACGCGAATTTCCGGATGAGAACACAGAATGGTCTGTTTGGGTATGAGTCAGGTAAGAAAAACCGCGGGGCTACAAGGTACAGTAATTTCTCCCTAATTCGCGATCGGAAGAGGAGACACGATTATTCGAGCCTTGCGGCTTGTTTTTATAATTGTTGACACTCAACAAAATTTGTAAAATTTGTAAAATCGTTAGTCACTAATTCTTCTTCACTATCCGAACTAAAAGGTCTTGTCGTTTTATTCTTTCCCATTGGTGAAATAATTTCTAAAATTTAATGTTAAATTTCAAGTTTTATATTTAACTGTAAGTACGTATACGTACCAATTATTCAACTAAAGCAATTGTCTAAAAACTGAGTTTAACTAGTTAAATACTAATTAATTAAAATTACCTTGACATCGCTGCCTTCGGACATTATCGATAATAAATATTTCAATTCAAGTATAAATGGACTTAGGCCACTTTTAAAATGAACGGCTCAATTATTGAACTAACTCTGAAAACTTACGCGTCCAATATTATCGTATTTACTCAGAATATAAGTAACCTCAAATGCTTTATTGATAAATAACTATAAGTTGTACATGTAACCACGGGCAACCGGAAATAATTAACACAAATGGACTTACGCCACTTTCAGAATAAACGGCTCAAATATAAAAGTGAGCCGCAAGGCTCGAATAACAGTATCTCCTTTTCCGAAATTGTCCAATCTTGTGTACAACCTGAGCGTCAATTAGAAAGAATTTATTGTATTTACTAATAAATAGAATAGTTACGAAAACCTACTGTCTCTACAATAATGTACTCGAATCAAATAAAAACATTTCACAAACAGTTCGCATATTTTTCTTCGTTCGAACGCGTGAGAGCCTGTCTCGGCCCACGATCGGTCGTCGCGACGCGAGCCCGAGCTTACGGACACATCCGCGAAAACTTTCTTCGCGTTCGATATAGAAACTGATTAATTAAGGAATCTTCCGGAATCTTCTTTCGTGTAGTTTCGTCGGTGCCTGCCCGGCAGCCGGTGTGGCAGCCCGGCGAAAGTTCGCGTCGTTTGTCCCGAGTTCTTGCGGAGTTCTACGTGACGGCGGGGTTCGCTTCGACAGATTACGGAACGTTCTGTTATAAATCACGCGACTTTTGCTACGTTCGATTCGTCGTCCGCAGTACGTAGCCCGCGCGGCGTAATGAAAGATTAATAAGGGGAATCGTAGCTGGTGACGTCCCGCGGTTGCTGTTTCGAGACGTCGCCCGTCGGTTCTTCTTTCGCGATCGAGTTCGGTGAAAGATCGCGGAAGTGAAAAGTAAGAAAGTCTGTATGCCACAGTTGATTTTCCGGGCCGTTGCGATTGGACCGTGTTTTTCAGCGCTTTCCTTCGCGAACTCAACGACTTGATTCTGCTTGCATGATTTATGAACCTCCTCCGGCGAAGTTCCTTAAGGAATACGTACTATTAACCACCTTTCTTCCGATTTAGCGGACGGTTGCCGATAACGTACCACTCTAGAGAGATATTTTGTCTTCCGGGTTTTTGTAACATAGCATATGCATCAGTCGAATCATAAAATAACACATTGTTCCAATGTGCCCCGTGGAAATAATTTATTTACTATGACTTATTGTTTGCACTTGTAATACATCATGATTTAAAAGTGTCATTATATTATACCGATTTGATTCTAAAATTGTAAATACTAGAATTTGTTTGGGAATAAATCAACATTGAAAATAACTTCAATACGTTCGATAAGAACTCGCGATTACTATGAACCTCAAAACTAGCGTAATTACTATGAGAGATGTGACAGACCATTGTTTATTATATTCTTTATTGTTGAACATTATAATACAATAATAATATAACATTATAATATTATAATAATATAACATTATAACATAATAATAACATAACATAACATTATAATATAATAATAACATAACATTATAACATTATAATATAATAATAATATAACATTGTAATATAATAATAATATAACATTGTAATATAATAATAATATAACAGTATAATATAATAATAATATAACAGTATAATTAAACATTAGCAAATACAATGGAAAACTTGTATTTTCAAAAATTGAAGCTGATATAACAAATGGTGTCACCAATCTTCTTCATATCGATTTAAGAGAACGATATTCAATCGATTGAATCAATTCCAAACTAAATATTTTATCCGTAAAACTTCACTCGTAGTGCAAAACAGCGCATTGTCCATAATATGTAAAGATTTTCTAACACGAAGTGAAGTAAAATAATTTGTCGATCAAAGGAAATACGTGTAACGTAATAACGTCACATATTTTCGTAAGATTTATGCATACTTAGCTAAAGCATCGGCTCGAGTTATTTTCCAGGGTACGAAATGTATATTTTTTCGTTTGAATTTCTAAAGACGTCATTCTGACTCCGTTAATTACAAACGTCAAAAGAAGTCCGGTTCGGAGTTGGAACGAGTTCCAAGAAAGCAATGTAATTACTATGAACAGTCTCCCGGAACAGCAAACGAAATTAAATCGGTGTTTCTAATAATTGGGATCTCATAAATAAAAGCTGACCGCGCTAGCTAGAAATTAAGTTTTAATTGAAAGGTGCATGCCGCGAGAACGTCGCAAGTACCATTGAAAGGAATCCAATGTTAAATGAGAATTCAGAGCGGTCTCACGGATAGACTGTTGTAACCAAGGACTACAGAGGACAAAGCTCTTTCAACAATGAGATTAAGATAACTTTTAAATATCTGTTTTCATGTCTGAAATTTTGTGCTTCATTAAGTAAAACCGTGTACATTATTGCGACAAGTTTTACCTGCTTCTTTACATGTCCTGATAAAGAACGAAAAATTCTGAGCTTCTTAAAATTTAATCAGACATTTCACCTTTAGAAGCCCGGTATTTTTCTATTAAGAAATTGAATTTCTTTGAAGAAAATTCTTGTATACATACAACTTATGAGGAGTGTAAAGTTGTCGAGTTTGTAAGTGGCCTCTATAGTGCTCAGGAGGGCAGCCCTATGTAGGTTACATGGTACAAGGACGATTTAAGAATCCCTGAAATCGAATCCTTTAGAAAAATTCTCGGTTCTATTCTAAAGTGTATGAGAGAGAGATGCATCTAAGTAACACATGAAACATAGTAATTTTAACACGTTCCGTGCCAAGCCATTTTTGCCTAACTTGTCGTTCAGGCCATTTGATGTTTTGACTAAAGATTGATACATTATCACATAATATTTCATTATATCATCAGTAGATAAGTAGTGATTGCCCGAATCAACCGTTTTTATGCAGCTTTTGCTTTAAAAAAGTCAAACATTGTAATTAATAGTTATTGTGTATATAACGATTAAACAAATTTATGTGCTTTGTTCTATACAGCATTTTTTACAATGCCTCTCATCCTTTTGGTGGAAATATATTTTATACAATCAAATTTGTCACAAAATGTATGTCTTCAGCGCTTTAAATAAATATGTCCGCGTGTACCATTTATGGTACACGTGGCCTGATGTTCAAGTTTAACGTGTACCATTTATGGTACACGTGGCACGGAACGTGTTAATTAACCCCTTGCCAGGTATTTCCACGAGTCTGACTTCTAATAGAGATCGCTAGTAACAACCTATTTTAAATACGAACCTTATTCCTTTCTTTTAAATAGGTAAAAGTAAATAAAATTCTGTTCTCTTGTCGTCGATATTTAAAAATTCTCTTTCTCTTCTAAGAAAACAATTGAAAAACTTCCAATTGCTGTAACTGTGACATATATGTATAAGAGACGATTTTAAAAATTATATTGTTTATAATATAGTCGATAAAAATTGCATTAGCTCCACCTGTCTTTCCATTTCAATCAGCGAATGATAAAAATTGTGTTAAAAATTAGGCGTATTGTTCCTAAAGAATCGAGTCACCGACACGAATCATAAAAGGCGATCGTGCCTTGCGTTAGACCATTCAACGCTTGCTCCAGAATCGGCATCGAACAAGTATCGTCCATGAGTATTGACAAGCGAAATGATTTTCTCTGTCCAGGTCTATTCAAAAGAGCAATTTTACTCTCGGGCAGCGCGCTCGCGTCTTGGGCTGTCGTCGAGGATCCCGTCTCCTACGCTTTGAAGCTCGCCAAGGCTGTCAATTGTACGGTTCCCGAGAATCTGCTCAAGGACAACAAACTGATCGTCAATTGTCTTCGAGGACGCAGTCTGGAGGAACTGATGCAGGTCGACATTCAGCCACCGACCTTTCTCAGCGCTTTCGGGCCAAGCGTTGACGGTGTGGTCATCAAACCCGACTTCCAAAAGGACCTGTTGTCCTACATGGGTCCGGAATTCCAAGGATTTGGGTGAGCACCCGATATACATACATCAAACATACACCTTCTAACATGCTTGGGCTAGATTCTAATTCGAGACTTCTGCTATCCACAGTTCCTACAGTCCTCTTTCCGATGAATTCTATTAGATTGAATAAAAAGATTAAATATAATACATATTATATTTATATAATTAAATATTATACAGATCTTTAAAATCGTATCAATAGTCGTCGATTTTTATTTTTCAATCCAAATGCTATATTTTACTCCATTTAAATGGTACAAAAATGTGTTTTGTGAAAATTTGTTGTTGGCAGCAAGAATGCTAAATGTTAACTTCTACCACCATGCTTTATTTAAATATTTTCAATTATAATTTATATATATATATATATATATATATATATATATATATTATATATTATATATTAGACAT